CAGAAAAATGCACAAAAAGACATGACAAGACATTTAATAGGACAAAAACTTGAATTGTCAATCAGTACACAGAAAGATTATTGACCTCATTCAAAAAGAGGGACATGCAACACAAAACCATACTAAGATATTTTATCACAGCTAACAGATTGGCACAAAATTAAAATGTCAGAAACCGTCAAGTGTTGATGAAGATGTGGAGCAGCTAGAACTCTCATTCACTGTTATTGAGACTGTACATTGTCCAAGTTTGGAAACGGTTTGATATTTTCTGTTAAAGATGCACAAAAATTACCACTCAGTGATTCAGTTCTTGTGGGTGTTCATCCTAGAGGGACTTTTGCACATGTGTATGAAAGACAAGTGGGAAATTATCTAAAAGCATTGTTTTTAGTAGCAAACAAAAACACCTGGAAGCTTATAGATTGGAGATAAATTATGGCGTGGCATCGAGGTCCAGGGTTCAATCCCCAGTACCAATACTTCCTCTAAAAATAAATAAATAAACCTAATTATCTTTTCCCTCAAAAAAAAAAAAAAGATGGTTGAATATAAAACATACTACTGAGTGAAAAAAAACAAATCTCCAAGAAATAAATAACAGTTTAATTTCATTTATGTAAATATATACGTTTTCAAAAACAGCAAATATCAGACAATATTTCTGTGGATACCAACATGTATAGAAATAGCATAAAAGCATGCCTGTAAATGATAACACCACTTTCAGAATAATAGATACCCATGGAGAGCGAGGGAAGGAAATGGATTTGGGAAGAAATTAAACAGTTTCAAGCATGATATTGCTTTATTTCTTTTTTAAAAAATTTGAAACATTTATAGGAACATAGGATGAAGCTGGTGTGTGGTGTATGGTACTTATTGTATTATTTTCTTTTTTTCTATGCAATCAATTGGTATACATAATAAAAAAGTTTTTTCAAAGGCAAAAAAAATTGCAAAAGATAAAAGCACTGACCTGTTGGGGGAGGGTATAGCTCAAGTGGTAGAGTGCATGCTTGGCATGCATGAGGTCCTGGGTTCAATCCCCAGCACCTCCTCCAAAAATAAATTGAAAAACCTAATTACCTCCCCCCACTAAAACAAAAATGCACAAGCTAAAAAAGCACTGGCCTACTTCGTCCTTCGATGGGAGCTGACTTCTGTACATCTGTCTCCTTTGCTCAGCTGGCCCCCCGGCCTAACACCAAACAGACTGTGGGCTGGGAGGCTTCTTTTGGGTCTCCACCTCCCTTCAAACTAAGGTACCCAGGGAGACAGGAGGCTGGATTGAATCTGACCCACCTTAATGTTCCTTGCTCTGTGACATCCCTGAAGGTAGCTGATAGGACTTTGGGGCCAGAGGGATGGACAGTGGGTCCCTCACACACTCCCCTAGCTGGCTTTCCACCGTGCTTCTCACACTGTGCCTAGCACAAAGAAAGCATCCAAGATGTGTTTATTGAATCGACCTGAGCTATTGTCCAAACTTCAGTCAGCTGCTGGTAGGACATGAAAATAGCTCCATGGTGAAGTGGTGTTTGCTAACATCTGTCGCGTTCCCTACTTCTGCCAGAACTCTAGCCAACATTTGCAGGAGGCTGACAGCAGGTATTCAGAATTTTTAGGATTTGGGCTTAATTTCAGATAAGCAGAACAATCTGGGCTCTATGCCAATGAGAAACGGATTCTGCTGTCTTTTCCTGCCTTTTTAACGTTTCAAATTCTTATACCATCCACCCATAAAAAACTTTCTTCTTTAGGAAGTCATCTGAGAGACTGGCAAAAGCACCATCTCAGAGTTTTCTATTTTTATCCCATGTGTGATCAATGGGATCCTACTGTGATAGAAATGGAGGATTATGAATTGATAAGGCCAAAGTACTGACATTTGCTTTTGTTCCTGGGCAAGCTAATGAAGGAAAATGTACCTAAGGTATAGAAGTATAATGGACATTTTGTGGGTCAGCCTTTCTACAGATGTACCCAATGATTTCTGTGTCTATTTTCAGAGAGGAAAAGAATACTCTGAACATTCAAATTGGCTGGACTTGGGAAAAGTTTTCATGGAATGATTTTCTAGAAACATTGAGATATAAGATAATACCAGCCCTTTCTTCTCTAAATTATTGATCTGTGAATTTAGTATCTATTTTCTGCTATCCTCTTATAATCAAAACCTATGTGTTCTCCAATGTGATAACACTACTAATAATTTTTTTAAAGTCTCATTGCAAAAATTGCATCACTCTAATAATAAGCCACTTTTATTTTCTATGTTCTTCCTTTCCAGTCTTGCTCCATACCAAGGTATTCTTTTTGCATAGTGGAATCACGGCATATAGATTTATAATCTGCTATTTCGTTTAAGGGTATGATGTGACTTAAAAATAAAATGGCACACGAGTCTCATGACTTTATAATCATGCTGATAATACATTATCACACATGCATTCACATGAAGATGGATAACATTTTGTGTATTTTTAAGTATCTGTATGCACCTTATTGTATGTCACCTCCATTTTTTAAAACTTTGGATTTTTGAAAGTTGGCTCTTTCAAACTAGCAGTGTTCTCAAACAAAAGAAAGAAGGAATTTATCTAGGGCTTAAAACTGAACAAAGTTGAGGTTTCTGTAAGAGTCAGATCATAGAGCTAGAAAGTAGAATAGTGGTTACCTGGATCTGGGAGTAGGGGATGACTGGGGAGTTACTGTATAATGAAAGTTTCATTTGCAGAAGATGAAAAAGTTCTGGAGATGGAGGGTAGTGATGGTTGCATAATAATGTGAGTGTACTTAATGCCACTGACCTTAAAAATTATTAAAATGGTAAATTTTACATTATGTGTATTTTACCACAATAAAAAATACTTTAAAAAAACTAAACAATTAATTCCTATGTAATAACATTTAGTACCTCAAATTTGTTTTGAAATGTGACAATATGTAAATAATAAATGCTTTAATGTTAAAATGCATTGAGTTTCAGAATAGTAGGTTCAGAAACAAGTAAAAAAGGAGTTTTGCCTTAAAAGGAAGTTAAAATTAACAGGTGTGGTTTATAGATTCATGGGAAATGAAGACGACTTTGAA